TCCCAGACAGCACTGGCAGCAACGAGTTGCTCGTCCAAAGGTTACAGGTCATCATGAGGGCAGGTGGTTTCGCTCCCTTCGTGCATGCAACGGCGTATGAAGCTGCACTTTGCTTCAGAGTGACTTAGCCTCAAATGAAGATTATATCTTCAGGTGCGCTGCTTGCACTGGCCTTGATTTGGAGAACCCTGATTGCTGGTCAAATGGCACTCGCGCCTTGACTTCAAAGGTCACATGACATGGCATTAGACGGTCACTCTTTTGGGGCGCTTTGGACAAAACAGGTCGAATCTATGCACGCAAAAGTGCTTGTCAAGAGGTGGTCGCAACTGTGGCAACAGCCCGCGAAGCGGAGACTACTTGAGTTGCGTGTTCACCGGCAGCTGGGTCTTCAGTTCATAATATGTGTACTGGATGCTGCTCTGTAGATCTGAAAAAGGGTTTGGTGCAGTTCCACGCTACCACGAGCGGACACCCTAGTCTGCTTGGAGTTAAATCCATATGTACATTACATGTCACCGGGGGCGTGGGAACAGAAAAAGGGAGCTTGTTTTGCCCCAAGGAAGGCGGCCACCACACATGTCAGACCAATCTCAGGTCAGTTTGCAGGGAAGGCTCGGGCTGCATTTGGAGTTAGCTACCATTGGCCGAAGCACAGACTAGCCAGAACAGAATGCCAGCGATTGCTGGTTCACCAGCTTCGCGAGAACAGCTTCTCCCTCGCCAGCCAGGACTGTGCATGCACGTTCAAACTATACAGTCCGCAGTCCTCAATAGAAAGCTATGCTGCTTCGGGTATCTGGCCTTCTTAGGAAGTTCGTCATGGCTCCATCATAACTTCGCCTGGGCAGGCAGAGGTTTGCTTCGCGAAGCCGCCGGAGGGCTTCTGCGTGAAGAAGGCGGGAGGTCGAGAGGGTGCTCTTCAACGGCCAAGAGTCAACAAGCCGAGTGCAAGGCGCAAAGAGCTTTCTTTGAGAAAACCAAAAGTCGTGATAAGATGCAGCTGGTTGAACATGCGTTGCAGACTGCATTCCCAGACTGGCAGAGCATATGCCGACACGCATTCACCGCATAAACTCGCAGCAGACTGTATTCATTTTCGATGTACGGCAGTTTTCAGTTTGCCACAAATTTTCGCGCAGAAGATAGTATGTTTCAGTTGTTTATTGCTCAGCTTCGTAGTGCAAGCGTGGGTCGTGGAAGATTCTTGAACCCCCCATCAGCTTCAGATGCAGACTGGAACTGCAATGTGCAGGCGGGGCTAAGACAGGAAGGATAACACGTGTGAAGGAGTCTGCAGGCTACCTGACTTTGTTTCCGGGCTCTGTGAGCTGCAATCAATCCTGCAAGGTCTGTGCCATGCACGGCAGCCAGAAGTCTTGCAGGTCGGAGGGACATTGGAGTACTGCCCACATGACCGCCCCTTCATACCATTTATCATAGCTGCGAAGTACATCCTTATCTTTTGCCTTCTGCATGCGCATGACCCTGGATTACCTTTCATACCCTCAGTCCTTTGAGTTTAAAGGTGAAGCATCACTTGGGGTGTTCAAACGCATCGTGGCATCTAGGATCTAGCAGGTAGAGGTCGTCAGCATTTCTTCCATCAACCGTAGAACGGATTACATTGGACTACTCATGAACTGTGTACCCAGGGCCGCGTGAAATGACTCCTTGGATCATGCTATATTATGCCCCATAAGGCACTGACAGCCGCAAGCACTCACGCAGAGCCATTGCACGTTTGCAATCTAAGCAGCTGACACGCAAGGCACATGCTCACATGCTACAGGATGTGGCAAAGGGCCTTGCTTGGACACTTGTTGCGGACTCGCGCGAGCTCACGCGGGTTTCCTAGCAAAGCAATCACCCAGCTCAACTTGAGCATGAGAAAGCCCGGACCATCTGCAGCCACATTGTGTAGATTCGAGAGGATGTCGCAAGCACCCGCAATAGTTTCCTGCAGACCAAGCAGTGCTGGAAGCAGAATTGCTAGCTGAGCTTTTTCTTAGCTTTGCATCTACAGTGAAAACAGCTCTTCCCCATAAGCAAGTCCGGCCCAGATTCACAGCACTGCCAGGTCCTACAGCCCTCCGAGCTCTGGGCAGTTCTGCGCTGGGCAGGTAGAAATCCAGGAGCCGATCGACCACGTGGTTATTCGTTACACCTGCCACTTGATTGCAGAAATTGCTGTGGGGTTGTGTGCCCCAGGAGTGTGTGCCACGGAGAACATGATCAATGGGTTCCAGTTGAGCCCAAAGAGCAGAGCGTACGCAGCGTCAGTACAGGACAGTTCTAGGATGGCAGGAAGCCAGCCCCACTGATGTAATCGCTCGGGTCACTGCAGTCTTGCAGGCTGCAACCCAAATCTTGTGACCGTCGTGGGCAGTTGCGGTGGTGGCATCTACAGTCCCTTGGATGCAGCGGGCCTCCTTGATTTTACAGGGAGCTTCGCTTCAGTGCTGTTGCATGCTGCCGCACGCACTGAGGTTCTGGGCGAAGACTGCAAGGCACTGATCCAAACGCCAATGTTCAGATCATGCCTGGTGCGGAGTACCCTGTTTAAATCGAGCGCAGCTTTTTTGAGAGAATTTTGCATGTTGTTGGTACTGGATCTTGTTAGGCCTCAGGCCTGGCCCTGCTTGTTTTCACCTTTCGCTCCTACTCACAGCATCTGAGCCGAAAATGGCAACAAATGGCAACGAGGAAAACTGCATTTAGTTTATTGGTCCAAGTTCTTAAGGAATCGTGCTGGGACCTCCTGGGGGCTCCCAGCGCCTGTTGCCTGCGTGCCCATCTCGCTGGCCGGTGAGCTCAACAGAGATCAGTACGCATTTGGGCTGCAACGCTGCAACCCAAAGCGAGCCAGCCACAAAGCGACTGTTGCGAAGCTTGTAGCCTGGTGAGCAGTTGTCCTTGTGATGTCACTGGTGGCCCATCTCGTCAGGGTTGAGGCTAGTGCCGCACAGATCGATAATCCTCTGAAATTGTTTTCCTTGACACAACTTGCTGTAGTAAACGCAATATTTTCCAGACAATTGAGTGTGTACTCGTACCGTGCTGAGGAGATTCCCGAGAAGTGCTCGCGGCTGCTGCCCGGGGAGAGCTGCGAAGTGGGCTGCAGCTCTAACTACATCTTGCAAAGGCACCGGAAGGGAGTTCCTAAGTTAGCGTTTTCTGAGCGTTGGTTTGTCTAAGGACCCTTGTATTGCAGAGAGAACCGGTTGTCAGGATCTGCATTTGCACCAAGACATTCATTTCTCAAAAAGTCCTCGATGGTTCCTGGCAGCGTCGAGCTGCTTATCAGGACAGTAGAGTTCGAGACTCGAGAGGTAACATCAGAAATCAGTCCTGAATTTTTGATTTGGCCTTCCATTAAAGAATCTGCGTCTCAACGGCCCGAAGTCGATGGGATGATTTTCCCAGATGCACACAGGCATGCACACGTCGTATCAGGAAGAAAGCCCACCCTGGTGCCCGATCACACTGCACCGATATCCTGCATATCACACATGTCCCGGACTGGTCCGACGTGAAACCGCTGCATGTCTAGGGCCCACATCCCAGAGCTGCACTTCATTCCGTCCCACCGTGCAAACCTCCCGGTGCAACGTACACATTTTACATCGGTACATGCAGCACTGCAAGCTAGCACAGATGCCTGGGCGGGAATGAAGGTATTTTAACAACTGCACGCATGACGGCCCAGCTCCATACATGATCTGACTTTCATAGGTGGGGAGGGGTTTAGGATACAGTCACGAAGGCATGGCCCCGCTTTGGAGTGATTTTCATCCAGCCGTTTGCCAAGCCTTTGCCAAGCCGATTCATTTAAGCCTCCAAACGCCACACCTTGGCACAGCAGACTCTGACATGGCCATTGCTAGTTCATGAGGGAGGGCTCTGGCTTGGTGGAGGACTGGAGCATCAAATCTTTTTAAGCTCTTACTGGAACTCTGCCTGCGAGGAAGCCAGACCAAGGGATCTTCACATGCGATCTTGGGATGGACAGGCAGGGCCCTGCCTTCCACGGGTTAAAAACGGAGTGATCTCTGTGCATTTATGGATGATGCAGCAAGGCGGCGTGCCAGCAGCGCATCACAGTCAAGGGTTGACATCCAAACTTAGGAAACATCTGCATGCCACCGTTTAGTTGTGCTTGAGCCGCTCAGAGTTATCCCAAGCTGAGGACATTGTTTTTTCTGCTGGGATCACTGTAACTAGTAAAATCGCGCAAGCTGAATGAGGCTCGTCGAAAGTAGTTAGTCAAAACTTGGTTCTTGGGGTCAAGCGCAGCCTCTGCAATGAAGAGCGACCTTTTGCATGTGCTTGCTCAGCAGGCCTCCGTCTGGCACGTTTCCGGAATGTAAGCTGAAGCCGCGCTCCAGCTGCGCTTGAAAAGTTTACTCTCAGGCTGGTGCTCTTGAGCACAGGATCCATAGCCCAGATCTGGCTGCAGATTTTGCGAAGCAATCGCAACTCTGCAAAGCAGAGCCCATGGTAGAGGCAAGGAGCAAGGCTGCTGCCGAGTAAATGAACGTGCGTAGCTGGTATTTCAGGCATTGAGTGTTGGCAAGTTTTGCACACTCCCCTCACCTTTGCACTAATTCTTTTCTGTGGTGGTCTCCCAGGACTGGACAGAACCTGGTTGCGGGTCGCATTGCAGACCAGGCTCGGAAGTCAGAGTCTGTCGGGCGTTGGTTGGCCTATCTCTTTTACATGCTGGCGGCATTCTTGTTCACAAGCAGGGTTGGGATTTCATCTGCAGGCACCAACAACGACCACGACGACCATACCAGCGCTGTGCCAGGTCTGTGCGGATATTGGCATCTTGCCATGCAAAGTCAAGGCAGTCGAAAGTCCTTGAGTCCTTACTTGTGTGAGCTTTACAGCGCAGCGGAAAGCAACAATTACAACTCTCCAGAACGACAGCCGGCATGGATAGCCAAAGTTATTTTAGAAGAGTTGAGCCAAAGCTGACTGAATAGGAAGTGTGCCAGGCAACTTCAACGATGGCCGTTTCGAGCAGTGTCGTTTCTGGGGTGACCCGCACATCACAAGGAGCTGGCGGCCCAAGTCACGATTCAACTTCCAAGGCCTGGTCCGGAGTAGCTTCGACTCTTTTTGCTTGGGCAGCGCATACAACAATGTCTACACTTGTCAACTTGTCTTTACAGCTACCCCGAATTCTGCAAACCTGTGTGCTCAGACACTGGCATTCATCGCTATGCCCGAGCAAATCAGTGTGCGGGCAATTTCGAGATCCACGTGTTTCAGTGCCTGCCAGGCTGCAATTTTGAGTATTGTGGGAGGAGTGGGCAGTGGGCGTTGCTTCGTGGTGGGATTTTATGAAAGTCATGTATGGGGGGGGATATGTTGCTCCATTGGGCTCAGCTCATCTCAGCTCCTTGCTTTAGACTGTGGTGTTTGATGAGAGCCGAGGTCAGTACAACAGAGGAAGGAACGCGGTTGCCACAGGTGTTGCTGCCAGGCTCACTGTGCGTTGCACCCCCACCCTTTTCATACCTTCTGTCTGGTAGTCATCATATATGATGATCTGAAAGTTATTTCAACAGGAATACATGACACTGCATATTTTTGCACTGCATGCGAGGCCCCAGCTACAAGTAGTGACTTGGGACCTGTCAGGATGAATGGGAACGAGACGATTTTCATCAGCGATCGAAGAGTTGAAACCAGTGGGGGCATATATGCCTCTCGGATCCAACAGCTTGGCGCAGCTTGCGTCAAGTAGTCAGCCTGTCCGTCCTGTTTCAGGAGCACGGCAGGCAGTTTTGCGGTCGCCGTACTTACGATGCAGGGGATACCAGATGTCTAGGGCCAGACGCCTCCTTTGTTGTCAGTTTTTACGTGGATCTTTGAAGAGCTATATACTTCCGTGAGCAAGTTTCAACTTTGGGAAGCATATCACAACTATTGGAAGGGGTCCCTTGTATAGCAACGGTAGACATGAACCTTAATTAGTCTTTGTGATGTTCTGATGTAGTGAAAAGGTAGTGCAGTGTAGTGCAGGATGTCTGTCAGAGGTGGAGCCAGATGCTGGAGCCATCTTGAACGACAAAGCTGGCGTGAACGTACAGAGCCCTGCCCCAAGACCTGTTAAGACGTTAAGACCATGTAAGACCAATTGCAGTTCGGCTGAGAGTTTCTGGCCTCGAAGAATTAGCCGAAAGCGCTGGACTATTCCCAACTTGTGCTGCCCCAACAGGTCAGGATGAGTGTGTCTTCTTCAACGTGAACGTGAAGCAGCTCAGACACAGAACATGATTTTGGGAAGTCGATGAGACTTATTATGCCTTGCGCTCTCTGCACCGATTGTGGATTTCGGTTTCTTGTGGTCATGCTCTGTGACGCGAAACCGTCCTGATGGCTTCTGGGTTGGCTTGTGTCTGACATACACCTCAGGCAGATCACCAAGCAGCCAGGCCACCTGTCATTTTGAACTATGGCAAGCAAGCAAGCGAGTTTGGGGGATTGTAAGCCAAGCATTTTTTTTTGCAGCTGGCGACGGCAGCTTAGAACAAGTGAAGCAGGAGATCAGATCGATAGCAGGCATCGCTTGGGGATGGGCTTCGCAGGCTCTGAAAATGCAGAGACTAGAGCGTCTCAGCAGCGAGTGTGCAATCCTTAAATCCTTGCTTTCAAAGGCTTCCTGCACAATTTCAAGCTGAGTATGCTGGCAGAGGACCTGTGGGGTTTTCACCCCCGATGTGAGCTTTCTGCGCGGCATGTTGTTGTGAGACCTCCAGAAACAACAGCACACTGACACCGCCAGTTGTTTGTCTTGTTAATTAACATTGTTTTACGCCATGCAGCTGTGAGAGCCTTTAGTATGTGCATCAGTCGGAACGAAGGACATCACTGCAGACGGCATTTGCGGTGCTGTTGATCTGAAATCCCAGTTTCTTGGCATTTTATAGCTCAGAGACCGTGGTCTAAACGCCAAAGTTATGCCGGCATACCTTTGCTGCTTAGAACCAACCATGGACTGCAGTAGTGCAGTCACTCCAGATACATTGCGCCGAACTCCCCGGACATGATCTTCACACCTGAGCAGCACCAGTACCTGCAGCTCGGAGCGCAAGAGGGGACACTCATTTTGGCAGTAGCCATCCGCAGCTGTGGAAACTTGTGCCTCAGAGGAATGAGAGCTGTGAGGCTGGTTTGGCTGCAAAAATTCACTCTCCATGATCCACGATCTTGCAAGCTCTCCGCGAGAAAGCGGCCTTCACTGAGTACGGTCGTGAATGAAATTGCTACACTGTGAAATTTTTCTGAACTCTATAATGACCTCCAGCCCTGAATGACTACCCTAATGAACGTGCCGCGCTCGACTTGCAATTCAAAACCATGGACTCATGTGTAATTAACAGTGAGCTTGTGAACTGTGTGTGGAACTTGAGCGTGTTGTGAACTAAGCACATGTGCATACCATTCCACATGTAGATTTTGCTCTCAGGGAGGCAGTTGTAGTAGCTGAGGGTGCGCTTGAGTGTGGGCTCCTGGTGCTGGCCAGGTCATGACCTCATGGCTAGGCGTGGAAACCGCCCTCCCATTCCCTTGCTGCATCAGGAGTCTTGCTTGAATGATCGCGAGTTCGAGGCTGCCTACTGCCAATTGGACGAGTACATTGTTCTTGATACTCGAAGGCACTTGGCTATGCCATCGCGAAGATCACGAAGATGTATCCCTGGGATGACAATGGCGTTCAAATCACGCTTGACTACGTGGGAGTTGAGAATGACTTCTACCGTGGGTATGTTAGTCAAATTGACGAGCCAGGTGGGTTGCCTTCTGTCTGCACGCGTCATCTGTGCAGGCGTGCTGCGCAAGGAGAGCCGCAAGACGATTCATGTGCGGAAGTGGGCCGCCAATTCAAAAGAGGACGCCCATAGCTTGTTGCAGGCTTGGGCTACGCTGGCTTCGTAGACTTGAGGAAGGCCAAGAAAAGAGCTGTTGGAGCCCCTCCTTTCTGGAATTCGCCAATAAAAATCGTCAAGCCCGTCGCTGAAGAGGTCGAAGACGACTTGGACATTGGTCCTTATGAGACGGATGACTATCCAGAGCCGAAAGGGGCCGCGCAAGTTCTTGAATCCCCGTTCTTCGCACTCATGGTGGCCTGGGAGCTGAAGCCAGTGGCTCAGAGCACGTCGATGCAGAAGTGGTGGAGCCGGCTTCTTCTCTGTCAGCCAAGCGGAAGCAACTTCGTACACTGGCGAAGGAGAGGCCAGGGCTGCTTCTTTAGCGTGGGCTCGAGAACATGCGTGAGCAAGTTGGTACTGTCTTTGGAGAAGATGGCTCGAGTCAGGATGCCTTTGGCCCGTTCATCAATCGATGCCGCCTCTCCGTTATCCACCCTCACGCATTAAAGGCGCTGTGTGTGAACCTTCGCGACAGGGGCGGTCACTATGGCCGGTATTTGGAACTACTTCCAAAGAAGGTGCTGAGCAGAAGTGCCAGCCGCAAGAAGTATGGCACTCAGGTCGGCAAAAGCCGAGGCGCTGTTGACAAAGTTGGGGTGCGATTCCCTACAGACTTTGGGGTTTGGGGGGGAGGGGATTGGCGCTGCTCTTCCCCTCCCGACCCCACTCAGATTGCTTAGAAGAAGCCAGTCGAGATGAAGCCGAGATCACCAACTCCCACGATGCCCCGTGCCTTGGCAATGAAGCCACCCTTGGAGAGGCGACGAACAAAAAAGATGACAAGTCAGGGCAAGCTGGCTCAAGCGATGAAGCGGTGCCTCGGAAGGACGGGGAGGCATGGTCCCAGTGAAAGAACGGGGTGTCCGATCACCTTCGAAGTCATGCGCGGTTTTTAACTCTGGCTAAATGCCCCGGAGGAGCTTTTTACTGCTGTTGGTTGCATCTTTAGGCGAGTACCGTCGCATGAGGGGTGTCTCTGAGATTCTTGCGTGCTGCGTGCCAACAAACAAACAATCACTATGGGGTGCATGAGCGTCAGAGGAAATTTCTTCCGTTGCCTTTGCCCCAATTTGGTGTTGCCCTTAAACTTGGAAAGCTGCGCAACCACCCCGCGACAGGCCTGCTGGTGTGGAGCCCCGGCATCAAGAACAAGGTTGGGAAGTAACAGCAACAGCTGAAGAAGCTGTGCCGCGCTGGTACGGAAAGCAACAGCTGAAGGAGCTATGCCGCGCTGGTACGAACCAGGCATGGTGGCTGCTCAACGTGTCGGTGCTCAATGGAAAGGCAACGGGCTGGACTAGGCTAGCGCTGGTCTCAGGGTGCACGAGCCGATCTGGCTAGAAGTTTTGAAGGCTTTGCCGCAGGCACTGCGCTGTCCAAAACTCACCCTCAAGGAACAGATGGTCACGCCGGGAATGTTGCAGCGCTAATGTGGCACCCTTTTTAATG